TTATTGACAATTTTTCTTTCCTTCACCAGAAAATGAATTATGTTTGAATGGATTTTTTTTCTATAGTCCAAATTCTATTTCATTGACCTGTGTCCTTAGCAATCTGGTACTATAAGCCCTCAACTTTGTTATTCTTTAGCATTTTCTTTGAAGAAAATTGTAGGTCTTTTATATTTCTGGTCTTTTATATTTCTTTGAAGAAAATTGTAGGTCTTTTATATTGTTGGAATCAACTTTTGAGTTAAAAAGACAAGACTAGTAGGTTTTGATTGGATTTGCATTGATTCTATAGATACATTTAGGGAAACTTGGCCCTCTTAACAATACTGAGTCTTCTATATCTCCATTTGTGGATCTTAGTTTCTCCTGCAATGTTTTGTAGTTTCTAGTGTACAGGTCTTTCATTAGATTTATTATTAGTTGTTAGTTGATAGTAGAAATATCAGCTAATTTTTACAGTTGATTAATTAGCAGATTGACTATTTCATCTGCATTGGAATAAAATGTCCATTATTTCCCCTAACTCCCTTTAAACATCTATAGGATCTGTAGTGATGTCTTCTTTTGAAATCTTTATGTTGGTGATTTATTTTCAAGCACCATTCTTCATCTCCTTTTCTCTCCCTCTTTATATCTATACTGTTTTTCCTGGTACTTAAAAGACAGTACTTTAGCTTTAACTGGGATTCTTGCAATAACCTCACAATAATTAGCCTTCCTGTTTACAGTCTGTTTCTCTGTGTCACATTCACCTTATTATAGGAAGAAAGCTCTTTCTAAAGTGCAAATGTAATTAATTCTTTTACAACTTAAAACATTTAAATGGTTTCCTAATTCCTTTAGAATAAAAAAAATCTAAGCTCCCTATATGGAATATAAAATCATTGATGATTATTATCTACTTCTCCCAATTGATTCATGTCTTTTCGTACATTCTCCCTTTTTATCTTTCCCTGCAAACCAAAGGGAGCTGCACTTCACTGCCTTTCTAGCGGGCTCTAATTTGTCATTCTCTATCTTAAATTGGATACAACATTTCAGATATGATATGATTAACAGTTATCCAAACATCTTTACTGAGATGAGTATTATTATTAATATCTGATTGTCCTGGCCTCATTCTTTATTAATGTATGTTTGATATAATTTCTTTGATTTTTTATCTTAACAGCTGTATCTCTAACCTGAGATCATTATATTTTAGTTCAGTTTCAATTTTTCTGTTTCTAGAGCCATATTTAGTAATAAGAATACATTAGTTTACCAGAACCAAACTACCTATTAGATAGAAACACTCCTTCCTGCACCAGTGATGGTGAGTTTCAGGTCAGCTTCCTACTGTGCTGGTATTGACCAGTCTTAGCCAGGTGACCAGATGATGTATATTTCTTTCTTTATTGTATCTTTCCATGGTTTACAAAATCAAGGAACATTCCTCTGAAAACTGGTTTGGAGGTAAAGCACTTGTTTCTGTTCTAGTTGGTCCTTCACTTCCTAACCCCTAGAGGAATCAAGATGTCCCAGGTTATGTTTAAAAGTCTAACACTTCAAACTTTTATTCTCCTGTTCGATTTGAAAGGTGGGGGTGGGAGGGCGAGTGTTATTAGCTCTGTCTTGATGTAGCAGGGACTCTGAAAGTCTATTTGGATAACACTGAAGATTGGAGGAAATGTGACTCTGTCTGTGTGTTTTAAGCCCCTAAGGTAAGATCAGAAAGCGTCTGGGGCAGCGAGAGCCAAATAGTTGAAGTCATACATTAATTATGGTCATGAATCATTTTTATTTTTAAAGTCTTTACCATCTGACAAGGTTGTTTGCATAGTACCAGTGAGTTTCAGGCAGCGTTTTCCCCCCTTTTAAAGTAACAGGATATATTGTTGATTTCTGCTCTTGTTGATAATCCTACCAACCATTGTTAGAATTCTGATAATATGTTTAGTAAAAATTGCTTTTTTCCCTATTTGAATGATTGGCCTTTAAAATTTGAATAATATTTTGAAGTTCTAAATATAGAAATCAGTCTTTCTCCTACTGATGTCCATTTTAAATATGAAAACTTGGAGAGGTTCTTTTATGTTCAGACAGTGGTTGATATTCAGTCAGAAAATATATTTTTAGTACTTCCTTTGTGCCATGTTCTATGCTTAGCACTGAAAAGATATATTTAAAAAATGAGATTTCTTTTCCTGCTCAGGTCTAATAAGGAAGTAGACAAGAATAGTTGCTGTGAAATGCTCTTCTGTAATCTTTTTAGTGATGCTATATACATGATGCGACAAATTTTCAGAGCAAGGGGTGCCTCTGCTTGTCTTGAGCAATCAGGAAAGGCCTTTGAAAAAGTGTTTATACTTGAGTTGCTTCTTAGTAAATTTAAGAATACACTTACCTATTGAAAGACTGGGAGAACTTACAGGCAAAAAATTGCTCACACAAAGGTTGATAGTCCAGAAATGGCATGACATATTTAGAGAAATATCATTATTTCTCATTATTGCTGGAGTTGAACATGTAGAATAAGGACTCCAAGGATGTGAGACCACATTACAAAGTACCTTTCCTTGCTTTAGAGTCAACATTTGTAAGAGAGTATTACTAAAAAGAGAGCAAGAGACACAGTGTAAATAGACTTAAACACAGAGCAGGAGACAGTAGGGTGGCATGTAATCTCCTGTATTAGATTTTTTGAGAGCCCTGAGGGTATAATTGAATAATTGATCTCATAAGCAAACTAGCTAGTAGAAGAGTTGCTGACCTAAGAAATCCTCAGAAACTATCAGGCAATTTCAGAAAGTGCAGAGTGTGATATGAATACTTACAGTACATAGTGTCATTAATAATAGTAAAATGATGGTGGTAAAAGTGTTGATGTCATTAAATCTCCAATAAAATTGACCTCATGTGAATGATAACTTTCATATTAGGATCATTGACCAGCTTTTAAAAAATGGGTAAAATTTACATAGGGTGTAATGTGTACATTGGTAGCTTACTCTTCAGAACTTTGCTAAGAATATATACCCATATAGTCCTTACCACCACCGAGATATGGAACCAGTTCCACCTCTCAGATTGTTCCTTTCTCCCTCTTGCTCCTTACCTGGTAAGCCCTACCCCACATAAGCCCATAGTCATTCTTTGGATTTGTCAGGATAGATTGCTTTTCTCTATTGTTGGCATTTTTTACTTAACACAGTGTTTTGAGATTCATTTATATTGTTGTGTTCCTTTTTATTGTGGAGTAGAATTTCATTGTATGAATATCCTACAGTTTACTTATTAATTCTTATATTTGATGACCATTTGTATTGTTTTCTATGAACATTCTTAGACAAATCTTATTGTATCACTTTTATGTTTTTTGAATAAATACCACAGAGTAGAACTACTGGGTCATAGATTTGATGTATGTTTAACTTTAAGTTTTATCAAAATGATAGTACTATTTTGCATTTTACCAACAATACATTGTTATTTTAATTTTAGCTATCTTCAGCCGTCTGAATTGCTATTGCATGATTTTTATTTGCATTTCTATCATGACCAACGTGTTAAATAATCTTTTTTTTATTTACTGACTTTTATTATATGTTGTTTTGTGAAGTATTTCACTCTTGCCCATTTTTGATTGGGTTGTCTCTCTGTTGCTGATTTGTGAGTTTTCTTAAAAAGACTTAAGACATGGCCCTTTGTCAGATTCACATTTTACAAGTATTTTCTCCCAGTCTATTGATTGTTTCTACATTTTCGTAATGGCATCTTTATGATCAAACTTTTTTTAATATGATAAAATTGAATTTGTTAAGTTTTTATTTCCTTAGTGCTTTTTGTGTGTGTGTTCTCTTAAAATGTTTGCCTATCCTAAAGTTGCAAGACTTTTCCTGCTCTTCGAGATGTTTTATGCTTTTAGTTTTTATATTAACTTTGACCCACTTGATTTGACTGTTGTGTGTTGCTGTGAGATAGGGAATGTAGTTCTTTTTTTCTTCTCATGCTTATCTGGTGTTTCAGCAACAATTGTTTTAAAAATTTTTTCTTTCTACCTTAATTTGTTTGGATTCCTTTGTCCAAGACCAGTTAGTCATATATATGTAGGCCTGTTTCTATACCCTTTTCTGTTCCATTGATCTGTTTTTCAATCCTTATGCCAGTGCCATATTGTCTTGGTTATGTAGCTTTATGAAAAAAGATTTGAAATCAGGTTTAGTGTTTCAATATTTTTTTGTTTTCTTTATATAATATTCCATATATATATTATAGTATCCGATTATAATAAACAAGTGTATTTAAATTATTGTATGTTATAAATTATAGTATCAGATTCTTAATTTTTACCAAAAAAGAAAAGTCTATTGTGGTTTGAATGGAATTGTGAAACCGTTGCTTTCTCTATGTAGGAATACAACAGAATTTTTGTATATTGCCCTTTAACCTGGCATTTTATTCTAGTATTTGTTTTATAGATTTCTAATGATTTTCTACATGGAAATCATGTCATTTTTGACTAAAGACAATTAGGTCATTTTTGTTATGTAAGTGTATAAGAAATGTCTGAGCAGTATTAGAGGATACAGAAAACTAAAAAACATAATGAAAGCAAAAAAAAAAGACAATAACTCATTTCAAAGAGAAAATGTTCCTTGTTTCAAAGTAGTGTCTGCTTTAATTCAGCTTTCTTGAAGCGGTGATGTTCTCTTAATTTCTCTGTAAAATCACAGATTCTAACCAGATTATTTTTCCATATTACTTCTAGACTCCAGTGAGTTTTTCATTTTAGCTCTTAATACTTTAGAGGCAGTCAGGCAGGTTTTTAGAAAAGGTGATGTGTTCGAGTATATTGTAATAGTTGTTATTTTATTGTACATAATGTTAGAGAATTGTGAAATGGTCAACTTGGTTCATTTATAATCCCGTTTACCCTCTAATATCCATTTATGTGTTTGGTTCTGTGTTCAGAGTTTATAGTTAACTTATTTAAATTTTTCTAAAATTTTCATTTCTAGGCTTCATAGAGCCCAGTGTGCAATTAAACAGACTCAGGTAACTGTTCAGAAAATTGGAAAGGAAATTGAAGAAAAACTAAGACTCACATCTACAAGCAATGAGCTGGTAGGTTTTATATACTTACCTGTATAATTAAACATCTTGGTTTCCTAAGGTAATCATTATATTCTTCTTGGATTGCTTTCTTTCCCCCCAAAAAACTTTGTTGTTTTTTCTTTTTTAACCTGAAATGTTTTACTGAGACTTCTGTTGGCATTTAAACATTGAAAATAAACTTTTCCATCTGCTAATAATGTAACCTACAAAGTGCCTGCCTTCTTCTGCTGGATGAAACTTTAGATTACAGGTAATTACTTAGAAGATAATTAAAAGCTATTTTATTAATGTCTTATAAATGTGAACTTTAGACATGAACTATATAGTGAATGAAAAATAGCTGCCAGAAGAAAAAGAAACTTTAAGGACTAATCTACTTTTAAAAGATGAATTTAAAAATTATTTGGATTAAATTTAATAGGTTGGTTTATACACAGTGTTCTTACTTTAGGGAAAGATTCTTTTAATGATCCATTTCCAGAAAAATAGAAATTTCAATCCCAAATGGACAGATTTAAGATATTAGCATAATATTGGTTGTCTTTGTACTCTTCCTAGTAGAGAAAGAAGTGTTAATTTTGGAATGAAAACTCTGCCTTTGTAAGCAGAATAGTGGTTATAAATTATGAATTGAGCTTTTCTCAAATAAAGCCATATCACTATAAATAGCTAGATGAAATTTGTGCTGTTAAATCATGCTACTTAAAGTCAGATCATCAGGTTAAGTTATACTAAAAGTTTTTATGTGTTTGTTTACACTAACTCTGTAATAGGTAATCTAGTAGGTGAGCTAGGAAAAAGCAGAAAGAGATACAGAATTCTTTCTTATGGAATTTGAAATGAATGAATGACAGTACACTCAAACTATGTAAAATTGCTGATTCTGATTTGCAAATGGCAGTTTCATATAATTTGACCTGTTGTACAAAATGGTGCTGTACCTGGCTTATAGCAGGCATATACAGTATAGTAGCTAATAATTATAGTAGTGTTACTCATAGAACTTTTCTTGCCTGTGGAAAAATCTTCCATTTTGGGGAAACTCTTAAACCCATCCTGGGAAACTCTTAAACCCATCCTCTTGTAACTTAGGCCCAATAAGGGACGGAATTCCAGACCACAAATACATTGGAAGAGGGGGAAAACAGCTAATTTGAGTCCTCTGTAGTGTACAATAATGCCACAATTTTAGGACTTTTGTCTGGGGAGACATTGCCAACTTTTATTTTTCTTATGTCCGTCTCCCAAGGCAAGACTGGGAAATTACTTATTTCATTAAATGACAGCGTATGCTTTGTCTCAGTATGGAAAAGTTTATATTTAATCCTATTTTTCTAAAATATAAGTGGTGACACGCAGAACAAGGTGATAGAATGTAGGAGTTTAAAGAGGTCAGGTTCAGAGGTTCACTATGTATTTTTATGCTGCCTAGTCAACACGGAGAAAATCACTGGCTATTTGAACTGAAAGTGAACCTAGAAATCATGTAGTTTCTTCGTCATGCTACTTAAAACCATTCCCTCCTCAGTGCATTCGGTTCCCTTCCCTGCTTTATTTTTCTCTGTAGTGTTTATTAACCCTTTCTATGGTGTTTACTTTACATATGTATTTTTTCACTTTAGACTGTGTGTGGGTGGGGTTCGGGGGGGGTCTTTTTTTTTTTTTTTTAACACTGCAGTGCATTCCTCAGTGTCCAGAAAAAAGCATTTGGCACATAATAAGTGCTCAATAAATATTTGTTGAGTTTAAGAATGAATTAGCCTAATTTCTTCTTATATAAGGACAGAAAAATAAGACCTGAAGAAAGGAAACAACTTTCCATTAGTAATTTCATAAGCAGACAGAAATTTTGGTTTGCTTGTCTCCTCTCAGTGACTACTGCTTATATTCTTTAATTGTTTAAGATACTTGTAACAAATTAGAAACCTTTATTATTATTTTGTTCCTCTTGTTCCCTACCCAAATGATGCAAAGTCATCAGACACCAAGCAAGGCATTTTCAGTGTATAAGAATTAACATTAATTTTAGCCTAAATAAAAATACAGTCAGAGGGCATTTTTGATACTGAATGAAATCAGTTTACCTCTTAAGACCAGCTGTAATTAACTCTTATATGAAATTGCATTCAAAGATCTGGAATCTTTTTGTGTTACATGAGTGTCCAAAAAACTTGTTTTTGGCATCCTTTTTTTTTTAAAATGATTTTTCTGCTTTTGCTATGTGGATATTTTTTGCCTGTGTATTTCATATTTGTCAAAGGCCTTTTCTGTGTCTAGTGCGCAATTGCATATTTTTTTCTTTTCTTGTATTGTGATAATAAAATATAACTGATAGATTTTTGAATGTCAATCCAACTTTGAGTTTCTGGAGAAGTCACCTTTAAGTCTTTCAGGGGTTTGTCTATTTTATTTAAGAAGACTGTCTTTTAAATTTTAACAATTCATTGGATTTTAGTGTTTTCTTATTTTGGTTTATACTTACATTTTTATGATGAAGGTTTTTTATCTCTATTAGTCACTTGCATATCTTTCAGGATGTGCAAGTTTAAATAATTTTGCCCATTAAAGATATAATCTATACTCTTTACTTAAATCTATAGAAAACTTGCAGATAATTCAGTTTCCATATACCATTCATCTACTGGTTTCCTTAGTGTTAACTTTTTAATAACCATGTTACATTTGACATGAGACATGGCATCATAAACCACAAAATTAGCATTGCTACGTTACTGTTAAAATATACTTTATTCACTCTCACTCATGTTGCCACTAATGTCTTTTAAAAAATAAAACACACCTTTAATTTTATAATGGCTTTAGATTTATAGAATGATTACAAAGATAAAATAGAGTGCCTTCATATCCTACCTCTACTTTCTCCCATTATTAGCTAGGCTCTTACCTAATATGTTATGTTTGTCACAATTGAATCTGTGCTGATAAATCATCATTAGCCAAAGCCCATCCTTTACTCAGAGTAATTTAGCTTTTGCTCATGTCCCTTTTCTGTTCCAGGCACCCATCCAGGAACCCTTATTGCAATTAATAGTCAAGCTTTCTTAGAGTTTTTAGTTGTGAAAATTTCTGTTTTTCATTGTTTTTGATCACTTTGATAGTTTAAGGACTATTAGCTCTTTTATAGAATACCCCTTGATTGTGACTTAACTGATACTTTAAAATGGGTCTTCAGTTCCTTTTTTGGTCTAGTCCTCAGTCCAGGATGCCACATTGGATTTGGTAAACATGTCTTCTTAGCTTTCTCAAACCTGAAGTTTCTTATTCTTTCCTTAAATCACCCTTTAAGTCACCCTGACTAATCAATCATTGTTGGTATTCAGTTTGATCATTTAGTTAACATAGTGCCTCCTTGGTTTATCCCTGTAACATTTGGAAAGCATGTTTTAAGTCCAGCTTGCAGTCCCAAAGAGGGGAGTTAAGCTCCTGGAGGATAGACTGTCTACATATGATATTTGGAATTCTTATAATTCAATATTATGTTATTTTCTTGCTCAGATCTTTCATATTGGCTCCTGCATCATTTCAACTTGTTCATATCACTGTTTTGTTTTTTTAAAATATTTCCTTAATTTCTGGCAATATATCCTACAAGCTCATGTTGTATTTTTCTGTCTCAGCCCTAGAATTGACCATTTCTCCAAGGAGTCCTTTATTCTTTCTTGGATAGTGGTGTTTAGAAACAAGATCTGGACACTGGCATGCTTCTTGACTGGACTATAACTACTTCTCAGCTTCCACAGTGGAGGGATCTGGCTACACAGTGCCTGTCCATATTTTTTTTTTTTAAAGATTTGTTTATTTATGCATACAGACTGGGGTAGGCCAGAGATGAGGGGGCGATGAGAGGATTCACCCGAGACAGAGTGGGGATCAGAACAGGCAGATCCATGAAGTACATTGCTGAAGGGAGCAGTTGGCAGGTCAGGAGAGGTCTGCCCCTCCTTGTGGTCACCTCCAGGGCAAGTGGGGATGGAACTCATGCAGAAGTGGCTTTAGCTTCTTAGTGCTGTGCTTTAACCCCCTGCAGCACCAGGGAGGGCCACCTGTCCATATTTATGCCTCTAGATCTCTGTATCTGTATCTAAACATGAGGTGACACTAATACATTCAGCTACAATACCACAGTTTATTCTCACCTTCTTCTTCATTTTATTTATTATTTGGAGTATCTTTTTCTGATAGTGACCAGCTGTCAGTATCTCCAGTTTATGTGCTTATGTATCTAAAGTAGTTTCAGATTCCCACCCCACCCCCCATTTTCAGTGGTATTTTGTCTTGTTTTGGTATTTTTTTCTGCAAAAGTATCTACGTATGTGTCTTACTTATTTTTTTCTGCATACATATTCTTTTTCTGGTATGTATTCTGTGAGTTTTTCCATACTGTGGTTACTTTTTTGTGTTCTTAATCATGGTGTTTTCTAAAGAGCTAAAAGGTTTTAAGTTTGATAACATCCAAACTAGCATTTAAGATTTTATTTTGCCAGCCCAAAGTAACATAAATTTCCCTTTATATTTTGTTGGAGAAGTTTTATAGTTTAGGGCTTCACAGTTGAGATCTATGATCCATCTTAAGTGTTTTTTAAATATGAGTTAAGGTAATTTTTTTCATCCATTTGATTTATCATCTTTTGTTCAGTAGTCTTTTCCTTCTCCCCATTTACTTGTTTGAAATGTTTGAAATGTCTAAATTCACTTGACTGTACATGTGTGCATCTATTTCTGGATTCCCTTTCATTCACTAATCTATATATGTCTTTCACCAGCACCAAAACTCTTATTATTATAGATTCATCATCTTAAAAATCAGATAGGGTAAGTTTTCTAACTTTGTTCTTTAAAAAAAAAAAAAAA